CCCCAAAACCCCAAAACCCCAAAACCCCAAAACCCCAAAGATTTTAAGTCATATTGAATTATTTAGTTCATATGAAAATGTCATTAAGAGTATTTCTGAGATGTTTTCACCTAAATATTTGATTCACACTTTAAAGCATTCAATGAAGAGTTAGATCTGCATAAACCTAATAAAATCTTTATGAATCAGTTTTATACTCATTTCAGGATCATTCGCTCTGTATCCTTCTAGCCATCCATGCTCATCAGGAATTCTTGTAGTGATTATGATATCGTTGAAGCTTCAACTCAAGAATGGAATCAAAACTTTGTGAGAAGACTCCGCCCAATTGTCATAATCAAATCCATCAAATTCAAGAGGATGTTCATTATTTTGAGAATTAAAATCGTGGGTTCAATACGCAATCTGCTTCATTTGCATCTGGGTGTTTTCGTGTTCGAATTCAAGCTCGCATAAATCCTCCTCAGTGTCAAACTGCTTCTGCTTGCTATATTTTATGCTCTCGTCAGAGATAAATTTCCAGAATCGTTCAGGAAAAGTTCTCTTTCCTTCCGGAAATTCGGAAATACAGTTTTTGTCTAAGTTTCAAAGATCAAGTAGGCCGATTTCCATTTTGGAAAAGGACTCGAAGTCATACTCCTTCTGGACAACGAATCCGTATGCCATCTGAGATGAATAAGGACATCATATCTGCACAGTGGCTCCTTCAGTGTATTCCAGAAGATTATTCCCTTGGTATTTTCCTGCTCTAGCAGATGATTTGGCAACTTTAAATTTCAGCCTAAGTAAATTAATATTGGAATAGGTACAATGTAGATTCTTTTTGAAGAATATTAATTTTATGCAACCTCTTCAAATCAACGTATTGCTTGTGGGACCCATCTTCACACTTGATTTTGATCAGCCTCATTGGTTTGTAACTCTCATAGATAAGTCTACTCTTCACCTCTGAGAATGAAGGCTGATTTTTCATGTTGGAGGAAATAATTTTTGCTAGTTTCTCTTTTCAAGAAGTCTCACCTACTTTGTTGGCCGAACATTCAACGCCAAAATCTACAGAGGATTCAATAAATATTACCTGTGGGATCTCCGATGTAGATTGAAGAGTCCACATTGTTTGTGTCTTGCTCTATGTTCTTCCACAGTTTGCTATATTCTATACTAGGTAAAAATTTATTTACTGTTTTCTAGAGCTTTGAGACCACATCTATCAGGTAAATCTTGGTTTGTCTCAAGGATATCTATCAGAAGTCAAGCATTTGTATAATACCTTTATACTCTTCGGTCTCTAAATGAGAAGAATTATATTCTTCAAGTCGATGACTCTCCATAGCATCATTGTGAAGAAGGTCGAAATCCTTACAAGATGCTAATCCAGAATTAGCATTTGTTTTAATATATTCAGATTCATTTTGAGTCTTTACGAACATATTCTTCTGTATTTTCTCGCCATTTTCGAAGTAGACATTAGCATTTCTTTGAATCATATTTGGAATTTTCAAGTGATAATTTCATTTACTATCTGCAGAGCTGTTTTCATCATTTAGCCTTAATCCAGAAGATTCTTTAGACTTCGGAATGCTTTCTGCCTCTTTCTTGTGAGTGTTTGTCACATTCTCTCCAATAAAGTTCTTCTCAATGATTGCGAGTCTCATAGAAATGTTCAATATAATATTACTAAAAGGGGTTTTGGGGTTTTGGGGTTTTGGGGTTTTGGGG